GTGGGATTTGATGTTCGTGATTATTCTATGGATTGGAATGTTCTGCATGAATGTTGCTTGCTTTGTGCTTTGTGGAACTCGTAAGTGATACGAGTTAGCAATTGAGTGAATATGTCAAGTCACATGTGGCATGTGATTGTGTTCATGAGGTAGATAACTGACATTATGAGGAGTTCTTCGGCAGCTGATGGCAGGGTGAGGTCGGGAACCTAGGAGGCCTAGGGTTTGCTTCAATGGGATTTGTTGTCCTGGTTAGCGAGTGTTGTTGTTTGGATTTCAGAAGGTTACTTAGAGGATTCGGGAGGATTCTTGAGGAAAGTATGGATAGATTTGGAAGGTAGTATTGGGCCCATACTACTGGAAGCACATGATCCATACTCGAATCGAGGAGAGTCTCGGAGAATCTAGGAAATCTGTGGGATAAGGATTCTTGTGAATATTCAAACCTGTTGCGTGATGTTTCGGTTTGGTGTTGAGCACTCAGGAATAGCGTTCAGATTCTGGTTTTGGATCAGTAGCAGGTATTGAGTCGATCGATGCGCGGTCGAGGGAGTTTGTAACGCCTCAAAACTCAAGACAAATTTTTCATTTTTAATTCTCAAAATACTACTCAAGTCATCACATAAATTGTAAATTATTATTAAACAACATCAGAGTATCCCAAAATCCTCAAATCTTCATAAGCGATCGGATGTGTACAATCGTGCCTTCTCCTTCCCAGAATCTACAGAAGTACCTGAAACACATTTAACTTAACACGGTAACCACGAAGCTTAGTGAGTTCCCCAAAATACCACACACAAATATTTAGCCTCTCATGGCTATATCTTGATAAGGACCCTCCGGTCATGTGTCTCAGTGAGGACCCTCCGGTCTCACAGCTCGGGTTGGACCTTCTAGTCCTGCATCTCAGTGAGGACCCTCCGGTCTCACAGCTCGGTTTGGACCCTCTGGTCCTAACTTAATAAGGCACATAATAATATACAGCATAAATCACAAAGACATAATACATAATATATCACATAACTCAGTATAAGCACATAAGACCCTCCGATCAATAACTCAGGCAAGACCCTCCGGTCACACAATATTACCACTCAGGTAAGTATAATGAGAAGACTCACCTCGTGAAGTAAAGCAAGTAAATCCCATAAAAGCCTAAAAATGAGCATAAAACTCTAAATATGGACCCAAAACAAGAACTAGCACAACAATGAGCAAGTTTCGAACTTGATACCTCTGGAAGATGCACCAACAAGGGTAGAACTCAGATCCACAAGCTAAAAGCACAAGTTATCCTCTTTCAAGACTCCTTCTTCACCAATAGCTTCACCAAAAACACTCAAATGAGCCACCACACTCACACAAGCCATGGAAACGAGATTAGGGTTTTGAGAGGAGTTAGAGGCTGGAAATGGTGGCTGAAAATGAGGCCATCATGTTCCTTAAATAGCGTCACAGTACTAGAAAAACAGCCTTTTACGACGCGGAATGCGTGTCGTAAAACGCTCAGATGACGCGCAAATGCGTGTCAAGGAAGGCCCTGTCATAACGAGAGACGACACGCTTTTGCGCGACGTCTATTTACGACGCGCATTTATGACACGCATTTACGACGCGCAGTTATGACACGCAATGCGTATCAAGGAAGACCCTGTCATAAAGGAAGACGACACGCATTTGCGTGTCGTAACCTTACGACGCGCGTGTTTATGACACGCAATGCGTATCAAGGAAGCCCCTGTCATAAATGAAGATGACACGCATTTGCGTGTCATAAAATTCAGTAACCATTTTCGATATGCATTTACGACGTGTCTTTACGATACTCATTTACGCATAATACAAAAATATGTAAACAAATATATACCAAAACAATCAATTTCATCCAATAACATCATGTCAAACAAGTTATGAAAAAATTGTAATACATTGATATTAAGGGGATCTAATTGTACATTGTTATTAAGGGGTTTTCCCTAACTATATAACATGATACTACATCCCTAACTATATAACCCGATCCTTCGTGTCATTGGCTTGCCACCTGGTGTACCAGGTAAAAACATTAAACTTGGTGTCACGGGCGGTTGTCCACCGGGCATAGATGGCAAGTAAGGGCTTGAAGCATTAGATGAAACAAAATAAGTTTTATCTACACAACAAGCTAGTTTCCACCTTATAAGCAAGTGGGAGTATTGAAGTCCCCGAATTTGCATACATGAGCCTTAAAATCCTTGGCTATCTGCACAATAAGCTAGTTTCCACCAGCACCATGGGCAAATATGTCAAAAAACTATTTGAATGACCTAATCATCTTTAAATAGCATCACATCAGTACCAATTCTCTATATCTTCTTCATTTAGACCAAAAAAACAATTAAAAGACCTTGAAAACACACATAAGTATGTACTATAGATACAAATTAACAACTTAATTGCCTAATTACCAACTAATTAAATTATTAAATTGTGGTTAGATAAATGAAATTTTAAAATAGAAAAGAAATAGATTGGTTAATTTGTGTGTGTGTGTTCACCTGGTGTTGTGTTGAGATTTTTGATGACTCACCCCTGCTTCTGTACATGTAATTGGAAATAATAGGAAAGGGAAACACAAAAGCAACACGCCCAACCAAATATTAACAACATCATGGTGTTGTAAAGGCCAGTTTTCGTCCAAATACTCTGACATGAAAATGATAGTATGAGTATATATACAAGGGTTAAACGGTGATTTACTCATATCCAAACATCACTTACTGTTTTATCCATGCAGCACATAAGTGTCATTAAATCAGGAATCATTAAAGCAGCTAAAGATAGAGTCAAGAAACCTCCACTTAATGCAGCACCAAAATAAGCCTGCATTCAGAAAGCTGCAGGGGTGAGTCACAATTCAAGAATCTGTTAAAATTTGAGGAATAACATGTTCAACCAAAACAATATTAGAAAACAGGGTTAAATGTGAAACATAGCAATGTAATAATTATCAAAGTGCTGGAATACTTGAAATCTAGATTATTTACCTTTTGATTGTAAATCTAAAGATTCCTCATGCACAGATTATGTTCTTGTCAACTCTTGCACAATGGTAAATTTCAATTTAGCTGGTTTGTCTGTTCTTTTCACCTGATCTTTTCATATCTCTAGGCATCCTATCTATTTATTCATTGTAGACTAGTGAACTTCCATCATTATGTTCTTGAAATCTTGATTGTTAAACTTTTAATTTTGAATCTGAGCTTTTTATTACAATGTTACTATTGTAGCACTTACTTAATGCACACATATTTACTCTAATTTGGTTCTTGTCAACTCATACATTATGTTAAATTGCAACTAAGATATCCATTAAATCCACGTAAAATGACTATTTCGCCCACATTTTTGTATTTTTACTAATTCTTCTATACATGAACTCACAACAATGAACTTTGAATCAAATGATCCAGACTTCCATTTTACTTCTCATGAACTGTATCGTATTTCTTATTAGGAATCAACTTTATTGATGTTAAATCAACTCTCTTAACATTTCTTTCTTATCTTGTAGTTTTTACTAGTTTGCTTTATAACATTAATGGTAAAGTAAGACTGTTATCTCCTGACATTGATGATAAAATAAACTTCTTAATTCCAGGTTCAAGTATTCCAACACTTTGCTTTATAACATTAATGGTAAAGTAAGAAATAACGTTTATGTTGTTCGAGGAAAATAGTATTTGCCTCCATCAGAGATTTGTCATGCAACTGACTACAAAAGAGAAAACCCAGAATTTATTTCACAATACATAAAAAAATAAAAAGATTTAATGCTCTAAAAGGTAATTAAAAAATCCATTTAATAACCTGAAAGTAGGTCGCTCTGCTTCAAGGGCACCGGAAATCAGTTTTTCACCATCAGTGACAGGAGCTGGCCTTGATGCCATTTTATGGAAGAATCTTATCTGTAAAAAGAATAAAATATGATATTTTATTGAGAAATAAAAAAAATTATAAAAAATACAACTATCAGATTAATTAATTTGCTTGTTGGGATACCAAGCACGGGTGAGAGTCCGGGTTTCCAGCATCCAATCATTGTAGTTGCTTCAGGGCCTGATGAAACACAAAAGTTAGTTAAGTTATTATCCAAATCAAATAAAAGAAACTAGTTCTTTTTTTTTTAATTTCCATCCATATTTTTATTTGAAATAAGATTACCTGTAATGCAAGCAAGATCTTTTGTTTTCGCATATTTACTTCAAAAGAAAGCAAATGTGTCTCCAAGGAATCAGATGAATGTTTTTGAAGCAGCTTTAGATACTTTCCAGCTTCCATTAATGGATCTTCAGTCTAATATTTACATTTAGAAAAGATTACAAGAGTAATTCCATCAGGCAATCTATTGGGGGGGGGGGGGGGGGGGGGGGGGGGTTACCTGCAATAGCTTCTCTCCATGTGGATCTGGATCAACTGGCTTGACATTTCGTTTCCCAGACTTAGAAACACCACCCACTGCTTCCTCACTTTTCACTTCTGCCTCCTTAAGAAAACATAAAAAAAAATAATTATTAAACAAAAAAACAATTTTTGTATCCATAAAATGTAAAGAATTTATACATTCTTAGCTCGTGCTTCATCCTTCCTCTGTTTTTGCCTCAATTTCTTTTTCTGAGAAGCATGTAGTTTTGCCAGCTCATCATCTTCTTCGGTAGATGACTTTGAAGGAGAATCATACACCTTAATATAACATCTGCATCAAACAATACAAAAAGAAAATCAAATTTCAAAAGGTAATGAGAGATTTTACAAATGTAACCGAATCATCAGCATTACCTTATAGCTCCAACTGCTGCCTTCCTAGTTCCTAAAGTAATTATGTGCATGAAGTCGATCTTGAAACCTTAACATTTCAATATATGCACGCAGAGTCATTTTTCTTAAACAATAAGAATGAAAATCAAATTGACTATAGCATTCAGAAGAGGCTGCATAGAGTCCATACTTCATAATCATTAGAAAAAGTAACCGCCTGAGAGTTGAAAACCAACAAGATTCAGGTTGTTAAAAGCAAAAACAAATTATAAAAAATAAACTGAAAAGAATAGAATAGAAAAGAAAAACTAACCTCTACCATTGCTTGGTGATTTCTTAATTAAAATAACATCACACCATCATTTTACATAAATAATACTAGTGATTAATAGGAATAACCGACTATTTGATAAAGCAACCTGAGAAAGCAGATATGCAGCTATATGAACTGGACTAGCATATTTATCATAAATCACAAGAACTTCAGATAGCCCTGCAGGCATGTCAATGGATACTATAGCCTCACTGTTCTGTCAAGTGTCAATATTCAAATGCAGTTACTATGCAAGCACCAAAGGTAGCTCCTCCAGACATGATATGTCAAGTGTCAATATTCAAATGCATAGGAACTGCATTTGGATACTATAGCTTGGGCAATGGCCGAAGGCATCATTCCTTTGGTGCATTCAAATGCAGTTACTGTTCTGTCAAGTGTCAATATTAAACTTATTAATGTTGTTAGGAACTGAAAGTTTTAAAAGAGTGTTTGATTCAATCATTCAATAGCTAAAATTGTACTAATTTTTGTGATAAAGTGGTGTTGAAACTTCAAAGAGTGTTTGATTGAATCAATGAATAGGTAAAATTGTTTAAATTTGATAAAGAGGTTAAGATGGTATCTTTCACAACAAGTGAAATCTATACATCATCATGACAAGGAATTGGTATAATTAAGAGCAGCTGGTCACATTGATTTTACATGAATAACACCATAAAAGCCAGCAGCAGCCATGCCATATAAGGCTTACAAATACGAAACATGTATATACAAGAACAAGATATAAGTATAAAGCTGAAAAAGAACCTTAAAACCACACCACATCATTCACATGTATATCTTCTTATTTCTTAAGCAATAGCTTCAGCTTTCTCTTCATACTCCTGTCGTGGCTGAAGGGTGCAGATCAGGTTCTGATCACCATACACATTGTCCACACAGCCTGTCACACATAATTAACCCAACCATAGTTAATCAATCTTTAACCACATCAATCAACAATTCAAGATTCAAAAAAAAAAAAAACTTTTTAATTATTCAGATTAAATTTTATCCATGAGAGAGAGACGAACATGTAATAGGCCAGAACTTAGCAGCACGAAGCCATGGTGCAGGGTAAGCTGCATATTCTCTGGACCCCAAGGTGCTGCTGAAATCGTGACAAGTGGCTTACTCTGCTCAGGGGCTGGTATGCCTCCAGTTGCAACCTTTAAATCAAGATTTACAAATTAAATTATATAAACTCAACAACATAGTACTCTAATTACACATAAACATCAAACTAAAAAAATTATTGTTTTGTCTTACCACAGGGTGTGAAGGCAAGTAGGGTGCCAAGTGTTTCTTCACACCAATGGGGCCCATTCCGGGCCCACCACCACCATGTGGAATGCAAAATGTCTTGTGAAGGTTTAGATGAAAAACATCAGCCCCAAACCACCCTGGACTTGTTAATCCAACCTGTAAAAAATAAAAGCCAAATAATTTTTATATGATGTTTCAATTTTGATAGCTCCATTAAAACGACACAATAAGTGTAATGTTTATGTACCTGTGCATTCATGTTAGCTCCATCCATGTAAACTTGACCTCCATTGTCATGAATAATCTTGCAAATCTCATCAATACCCTCCTCATAAACTCCATGAGTAGAAGGATAGGTAACCTAAAAAAAGAGAATTTACTTTAGTTATTAATCTTTTGTTTATTATATATATTTTTATTTTATGTTTTGATAAAAAAAATTGCTTACCATAGGACAGATAGATACTCCTTGTTTGCTTCAGCAGCCTTGCGTACCTCTTAAATATTGATATTACCTTTGGAGTCAGTTCCCACGGTAATGATTTTCATTCCACACATAGCAGCACTTGCAGGATTTGTTCCATGTGCAGACACAGGGATGATGCATACATTACGATGATGATCTCCTCTCGCTTATAGTTGACCAAAGTCAATGACTTTGACTTTATATATATATATATATATATATATATATATATATATATATATATATGATTATATAAAAGGGTATAATTTAGCATACCATATGATAAGCTCGGATAACCATCAGCCTAGCATACTCTCCAGCAGCTCCAGCATTTGGTTGCAAAGAGAAAGAGTCAAATCCGGTTATGGTACACAGCATGTCCCCCAAATTCTTGAACATTTCCCGCAAGATATTTTTTTATGTTGCTCTCAGGTTAAAAAAAAAAGTCAACAGAAATATAATTTGGAATTGTAAGTCAAAATTAGAAAGATTTGATTACCTGATACCCCTGTGCCTGTTGGGTAGGAGCAAAAGGATGCATATCTACAAAGGCTGGCCATGTCACAGGCATCATCTCTGTAGTTGCATTAAGCTTCATGGTGCAAGATCCCAGAGGAACCATACTGTGGCATAATGACAGATCCTTTAACTGCAGCTTACTAATGTATCTTAGTAGCTCATGCTCCGTATGATAACTAAAATAAATAAATAAATAAATAAAGAAGCAGGAAAAGCCTTTTACATGTTAAAAAAGTGACTAAGTTTTGAAAAAAGTATCATACGTGTTGAAAATCGAATGAGTCAGATATGGAGTCTCTCTGGCAAGTCCGGAAGGGATAACATCCTGAACCTCTAGTGCAAGTGATGTGGCACTGAATGTCACCTAGAATCAAGAATCAAGAATCAAGTTTCTTGATTTATATAAAGATTTGTTATATCAAAAGAAAGGACAAACTCACGGGTTTTCCCAAGGCGAATACTTTGAACATCCTGAACCTCCGCCATGAGAACCCACTTCAGCTGCCGCCGTTATTTCGCCAACTCCGGCCATTAGATGTAATCATGTGTGCAGATACTTACATCACCAAAGATAGGAGCGGAGGCAAGAGCGGATGAACCTGGTTCAGAAAACCAGAAGGGTGATTATGGTTTTCCAGAGAGAGAGAGAGAGAGAGAGAGAGAGAGAGAGAGAATGCACCTCAGGAATGATGCCCTCGGCCATTGCCCAAGCCAATCAGATACGAAGTTGAGAGCTTTGAGCACAGTGGGCTGAAAATATCACATATAGCTACCCGACCAGAGCAGACTTACATTATGCCACCTCAGGAATGATGCCCTCGGCCATTGCCCAACCTGCCCATGCCCTGGGCCGGGCCTGGTAGTCATAGTAGATGGAGTAGGGTTGACAGGAGGTGGATCCAGGACTTAGAACCCCAATCGCCAACATCGTGAGTGTAAGAAGTCGCAGTCGTCGGCATAGGCGTGTGTGAGCGTAAGGAGTCGCCGACACTGCGAGGATGAAACTTGATTAATTTTGTAGAGGTCTCCCATAAAAGCCATAGCTGGTTGATGGAGGCGTTGATTGTTGATGATGAAGGGCCGGTAGGGTTTCATCGATTTCGAGTGTGGTAGTACCAGGTGGGGGAGGATAAGATAGCTTCGAAGAAGATCACAAATCTGGAGCAAGGAAGAAGGAAGACATTGTTGCGAATTGACGGTGGTTGTGTCTAGGGTTAGAGAGAAGGAGGAGGGAGAAAATGGCTCTCTGTGCGATTTTATGAGAGATAAGGGAGATTACTTCAAAATTTTAGAAATTTCTAATTTTAGAGGATCCCTCTTTAATAACGCGCGTTTAAATGAAAAAATATAAAGCGACATTTGTAGACGACACCCTTTAATTTAGGTGCCCTCTGTGTTTGTAATTTTTTTTTGTGGGACAATATTTTTAGGGCATGCACAAATGCGTGTCCTCTATCCTTCAAAATTTGGAAGGATGACATTATTTTTAAGGACACACAAAAATACGCATCGTAAATCAGCGAGTGTCATTGTTCGCGCGTCCTTAAAGGGTATTTTTCTTGTAGTGTCACCTCAAAATATTCGGGTTTACACTCTCTTCCTAGTACGCCCGACGTACCCTCTGGTACGCCCAGCGTACTAGGTGGTTTCCTCGTTCATGCTAAGCACATGAGTGCGCTAAGCGTACACATACTTACGCCATGCGTACTCAATTGCCACCCATTTCTCAATAAAGACTAAACTTGACAAAACTTCAAACTATCATAACTTCTTCGTCCTAGGTCCATTTCCAACGAACCTTATATCTACGGAAAAGTGGGGAGAAGCCCCACGCTTCTAGCAACTCATCACAGCCTCAAACTTTCTCATGCCCGGGTTGCAGCCTATGAAACCTAAATCACAAACGATCTGACACATGATGTTACAATTCTTCCCCACTAAAATTTGATTTCACCCTCGAAATCGCTCCTTATCATTACTCAGATCTAATCAAACAACCCGAGAAGCGCAACCGAATATTTGGACATAAACGATCTCCCCAAGGCAACCGAAACCAATCAGAACCCTCCAACCTAAAGAAGAACGAACCCTTCGCTGTTGCAGAACCAACTCTGCCTCTCCTAGACTTGGAAACTATAATGGTCTGTCTCCCCGACAGACCGCCCATGCAGAATATCCCTGTGTCAATCGCTCATCGAATAACAGACCCGATAAAACCCTTCCAACCCTGATTATCTTGTTGCGACTGATGGAACAAGTCGTTGACCAATATCAGCTGCTTAACACTTATGCATGACATACAAGTCAATCCTGACAGAAACCCAAAGGAATTGAGGGGTCACCTCGCACCAAGGACCATCCACCGATACCACTATCAGAACCCATCTGAAGAATGAACCCCAATATTCTGCCCTCATACACTAAAGAACGATTTGCCGATCCGCATGGAAACTGAAATCTACACTAGGTCTGACCCCCCGTCGGACATAACCTTTCTACCATCAACCCAGGACGATTCAGCTCCGATCCCGAACTGAATGACCATGCCCGACCGGAACTATCCACTGATATACGCAAACATAAGCCCCAACTATCCCTATTTGCTTAACACCAAATCCGAATACAAGATCGACTCCTGAACCAAAAGTGGACCCGCCACAGGCTACTCTTAGCACATTTGGCAATACGACTCCGCAACCGTTCAATCCAACAGAGCTATCTCAACCCATCACATTGTACACGTAATCACTAAGTTCGCTTTACCCCAAGCGAATATTACAACCGATCTGTAGTCACACATCACTTCCGACCCCTGTCGTCTACCACTCACTAACTCCATGCTTGCTGTGGTCCTCCTCAAGCCAAACGAACCGACCCACCCAGGTCTAAAACATCAGATGGAACCCATAACCACTCAAAATGGAATCCATCTGAAAAACCGAAATTCCCAACTTGCCTATCCTTCACACAGATAGAGCCAACTCAAACACCAGAGTCTGACCCGGTAATAAAATTAGAACCACTCGTATCCAATCTAATACTCAACTCATGACCCGAGATCCGTGAGTCTACATGTGCATTACACTCCTATCCTTCCGATTTGCGACAACTCCTCCCTAACTCGAGATATAACGGTTCCCGACCATCGTTGAGACCCCAGTCTCGCCCCTGGTCCGACCACCAGGTTTTCAAAGACTCAAATGGCAAGGCTACCCAAGCCTAAGAGCCCATACGCGTCACACACTGACTAGTGAATGCTACGGCTCCCCGTGGTCTTACAACACTCTCTCACTGACTAGTGAATGCTACGGCTCCATACAGTCTTACAAAACTCTCTCACTGACTAGTGAATGCTATGAATCCCCGCAGTCTTACAACACTCTCTCACTGACTAGTGAATGCTATGGCTCCCCGCAGTCTTACAACACTCTCTCACTGACTAGTGAATGCTACGGTTCCCCGCAGTCTTACGACACTTCCTCGTTCACCATGGGCTCACCCTATGGTCCTTCCTGACAGTCCTAGGTGATTACTCCCACTTGGATCCATCCAATCTCTTGCAACCTCACATCTGCTAGTTACTGGACAATCCCACAATCTCATTATCAAATCATTACCAATACTGAGTCCACTGAACTCATACTCCGCGACCCAACATGGATAGGTGCACACCATTGTACAACCCCGTCCGGCGACAAACATGTGATGGATCCACAACTGGAATTGATAACATTTGATCGATGCTCCTCTTGATATCAAACAACCCGATTCTTGTAATAATCCAACAATATAGGGCATCATACTCGGATACCACGATACACCATCACAGAACCTCACGATAGCTTGTCACGACCACTGCTCTTCAACTTACACAACTTGAAACCTTGGAAGTACTCCAAATCATAATTTGAAGTACGGAAGAATCGTCAATGACCGAGAATGCATGACGACAAACCAAAACCCCATTCTCTATTGATCAAAACCCATGCGAAATTACACATACCGACTCTTAAATTGATTGACAAATCAACTGCTGCCCCTCCTGGAGTATAGATAGCAACCTATACGTCGAACTAGAAAATCTCTCAACCATCGAAACTTGACCTCAACGACCCAATCTCCTCGAAACTCGAACATTGGCAAACCCGAAAGAAACACTGACCACAACGAGATCCCTGACTAATGGCTACCTGCCGTGAAGGCATTCATTCCCTCCTGAGCACATACAACATGCATCATCTCACACTGTACCTTTTCTTGACTACCACAAAACCCAAGTCTTATATACTCGGACCGCAGATCCCCATATTCCAATCTTCCGAACCGCAACTCAAGCAGATTGATGATCCTCCCAACAGAATACCCAGTTCTCCCCTACTTAGGGTTCGAACCATCGCCAATTGGCATACCAAACAGACCACACTACAGACTAGCTCACTAGATATACCATACCCGACTCTTAGAACATACCACGCAACACTCGATGACCCTCCAGATAAAGACCAAGCAACTCCAAGTATTCCGAATCTCAGATGGAAACCTCGAAAATTTCTCTGGAATTAACGAACTCTCGCACACTTCATTCTCTGAATCCTCAATCAACACCACATCGCAAGAATCGACATAGAAACATGAGACCTCAAGAGTCGTCATCCCGAGATACTCCCTCTGGTTACCTGGAACTGTTGCTAGAACACACCTTACCATGCCCGTTTGAGGCGCATCCTTGTTCTCGTCTGTCACAATCCCCACTAATAACTCCCTCCCGACATAAGAAATAACTCAAGGCACTCATACCACAAAATCCCTTTGATGCTAATACCGCAACTATCTGATACCCCACGGGGTCTTCCTCTATTCTCTGAAATCAGAAGCTCACTCACCCTTTCTTCCAAAACGGAAAGCAGGAATAATATAATCCTCATCATAGAAATTGCCATCACAATCCATCGGCCGATCACTCAAATCAGACTGCAATCCTCCATAACACATCATCTACACTTTCTCTTGAGTCCTGCGACTCCAACTGGCACCTCACCAGTCAAATCCCTCGAGATCTAAACTCAAATTTTCTACCCAGGGCATTCTCCATTTAGGCTCAACCGACATGGCCCTATGGCCCCACAGTTTTCCATATCCACTCCCAGTCTGAACAACCATAACCGGATAACTGGTAAAGGCAGAAACACTTTCTGCTACAAATCATGGTGCCCGAACCATGTTATTTACCCTCATCCTGCTACTTAGAACCTCTGGAATTCTCCTTGTTTCGAGTATGGGTCCTCTACTTTCAGTAGTATGGGCCCATACTACCTTCGACATCTACCAATACTTTCCATAAGGATCGTCCCATAGTTCCTAAGTAGCTGCCCAACCTTCTCGATCGACCAATTCCTTTCCTCATGCTCGCTCTCCAGCGAATACTCAACTCTAAACAGTGCTCTCATCGGACTGAAATTACTCTCTAGGCTCTCCTAGGTTCTTACACCTCTCTGCCATCAGCTGCTGAAGGACTCCTCGCAATGTCAATTAGCTGTTCAAGCTAACTCACATCACTCGAGAGTTCAACAAAGCACAAAGCATAAAGCAAGCAGCATTCGGGCATCGAGTAACCTCCCCCAGCACATAAAACCACTCTAGCATACAACTCCAAATGCTCTATCCACAACACAAAAGGCATTACTGAACTTAGGCAGTCCTACCTCTCAACTCCTCGGAGATCTCTAACTACCGACTCACATAACATGTATAAAGGCATCTCTCCTAAACAGGCACACTAGCATGAAATTTTGAGCAGATATCTAGCCCTAAATTAGAATGCAATTCTATCATCTCATAATAACAACACATAATCAAGTAAGGGTATTTTGGGAAATCACCGCTCGGGCTCTGGCTGATTATACACACTGCTTCAGATATGCTTTCAAAACTCTTTAATCTTTTTGAAAAATCGTGTGAGGAAAAATCATTCTCTTTTGAAAAGTTATTAAATCCTCAGTTTGAGTCTAGACATACCCGAGGGTGTACCCGAATCCCTCAAACCAAGGCTCTGATACCAAATTGTAACGCCTCAAAACTCAAGACAAATTTTTCATTTTTAATTCTCAAAATACTACTCAAGTCATCACATAAATTGTAAATTATTATCAAACAACATCAAAGTATCCCAAAATCCTCAAATCTTCATAAGCCATCGGATGTGTACAATCGTGCCTTCGCTTTCCC